TTCGACCCCATGCAGTTGGATCCTGCGAGATGGCTGGATGTACTGAGCCCTGACGACAATTCCTATTTCGACCCCATGCAGGTTGATAATGAGAAATGGCTGCTGGAGTGGCTGGATAATCAAAGTACTGAGAACTTCTGTTAAAGTCCTGGAATGTGCACGTTTGTTTCTCTGTTAGATCAATGTATTAGGTGCAATTGATAATATCAGTGATTTCCAGCACTACTCCAACCTAGTGTAATTATTTTAACAAAACCGTTTGATTGCTCTGTGTGTTGGAAGCATTTTCACAGTCAGTAACACTTCACAGGCATCATCAAACAAAGAGTAAAAATGTTGTCATGAGTCCTCAACGAAATTCCTCTTTCGACCCCATGCAGTTGCATCCTGAGATATGGCTTGATGTAGTGGAGTATTCGTGTCTCATATATATTTTTCGGTGATTTCTAGGACTTCAAGCTAGAGTGATGTTGTGAATGCTCTATAATGTGTTCAGATGAATGTCTTCCTTTAAGTTCCAGAAGTGTTCACGGATTTCAGAATGACAACAATTTTATACTTTGGACGAATGGCTTCAGTCGAAAAGGACGTCAAAGAGGAAATCGACGTTTACGTGTTTGATTTTAAGAATATATTTTAACTGTTGAATTCCTATTGGGAAATAATTTGCCTAGTTCCTTTCCTGTTTGAGCATGCGTATTAATAAAGATTTCGATACGAGTATTAACGTGAGCTTTCTTGCAGATTAATAAAGACCTGTTTTTAAAGATGACTGATCGTACGTTATTGCTACCATAGTTTTCCTTTAAAAAAACACGGACGAGTAGACATACACACACGAGTGTGCATCCAAACACGACTGTATATACAGCGGTGTGCATTCACACACGAGTGTGCATGTGTTTCTACGCTGTTTTCATTCATTTCGCACCACGAGCGGGGAGTCTCATCCCTGTAGTTCCCTGTTGTGGTGGCGCATTCCTACCACGTTGCCCCTCAATTATTTGTACGACACAATATAAAAATAATTTGTTTGTTCCAATACATAATCATACACGAGTACACATACACTCTCATGTACACACACCCACACACGAGTGGACATACACAGCAGTGTAAGTACAAAGGGATTGCGTTCGACTACGCGAACAAATGGCAGAATTTTTAATATAAAACACTCGTTTTCTAGAAACACCCCGCTCAACACGATTGTACTTAAATATATTTATAAAACAAAGTCAGTACAGTATAAACTTGCACATCTTATTCCAAATCAAGCTCGAGATCACCAATTTTGATACTTCAGACTGTATGTCACTTTATCATCCTCTAAACTTGCAGCAGTTTAGAGGACATTGGGGGGTGAATATTAGCAAATTAACACGAATCATGGAATTATGCATAGAGATGCACATCCGTATTCAAACGGAAGTGTACAATTATTCAGTGATATGTACATACGTATTATGTTGCTAGATATGCGGATTGTTAATGTAAAAATTAACAATTGAATGCAAATTCCATAATAGGCCAAGTCGAGAACAAAGAATTTGGATGCTAGAGCGGAATTATAAAGGGCTTAAAATCAGACCTCAAGGGCATTTCGAGAGGGATTTTGATGAGCATAGACGCTCGACTCCCCGCTCTGCAGATAACCCTTCTTCCACGAGACCCAGCCTGGCGAGCACGATTGCTTGGCGACTGGTTGGGGACTTTGCTTCGGGAGAGTTCGTGGCGATCTCTTCAGACGGGTTACAGGGACATCGATACGCCGTGCATCAACAAGTAAGTGTCTTTGTTAGTGGATAAACTGGTAATCGCGTGTGTATTCCGACTTCCGAGACGTTACTGTGACTCGGTTAGACGTTAGTGAGAGTTGCTTTTTGGCGATTTGAGCCAGACATCCACGAAGTTTCTCTGCTCTGAAAAATCAGTCACATGGAGCAGAAAAACTCTCCACAGCGGCACGCACACACGGGTAAGAAGCCATTCAATTGCGCTGTGTGCGGGAAGGCATTTGCAGATTCATCAACTCTTCGCAATCACCAAAAAACACACTCGGTGAGAAGCCATTCAATTGCTCTGTTTGTGTGAAGGCATTTGCCCGTAAAGCAGATCTTCACACTCACCAAAAAACACACACGGGCGAGAAGCCGTTCAATTGCGCTGTGTGCTGGAAGGCATTTGCACGGAAATCAGATCTTCACAAGCACCAGAAAACACACACGGGCGAGAAGCCGTTCAATTGCTCTGTGTGTGGGAAGTCATTTGCAGATTCATCAACTCATCACAAGCACCAGAAAACACACACGGGCGAGAAGCCGTTCAATTGCTCTGTGTGCGGGAAGTCATTTGCAGATTCATCAACTCTTCGCAATCACCAAAAAACACAGAAGCCATTCAATTGCTCTGTTGGTGTGAAGACATTTTCCCGTAAAGCAGATCTTCACACTCACCAAAACACACACGGGCGAGAAGCCGTTCAATTGCTCTGTGTGTGGGAAGTCATTTGCAGATTCATCAACTCATCACAAGCACCAGAAAACACACACGGGCGAGAAGCCGTTCAATTGCTCTGTGTGCGGGAAGTCATTTGCAGATTCATCAACTCTTCGCAATCACCAAAAAACACACTCGGGTGAGAAGCCATTCAATTGCTCTGTTTGTGTGAAGGCATTTGCCCGTAAAGCAGATCTTCACACTCACCAAAAACACACACGGGCGAGAAGCCGTTCAATTGCTCTCTGTGTGGGAAGCCATTTTCACGGAAATCAAATCTTCATCGTCACCAGGAAACACACACGGACGATAAGCCATTCAATTGTTCTCCGTTGGAGAGGACACGGTCATCACCCCGAAACAAGCATGAGAAGATCCGCAATGATAGGAAAGTGAAATCAAAAGGAGAAATACAGAGTGCTGCAATGAGTCCTGAAAAAAATGCATCTTTCGAACCTATGCAGGTGGATCCTGAGAGATGCATGGATGTAATGAGTCCTGACGACAATTCCTATTTCGACCCCATGCAGTTGGATCCTGCGAGATGGCTGGATGTACTGAGCCCTGACGACAATTCCTATTTCGACCCCATGCAGGTTGATAATGAGAAATGGCTGCTGGAGTGGCTGGATAATCAAAGTATTGAGAACTTCTGTTAAAGTCCTGGAATGTGCACGTTTGTTCTCTGTTAGATCAATGTATTAGGTGCAATTGATATATCAGTGATTTCCAGCACTACTCCAACCTAGTGTAATTATTTTAACAAAACCGTTTGATTGCTCTGTGTGTTGGAAGCATTTTCACAGTCAGTAACACTTCACAGGCATCATCAAACAAAGAGTAAAAATGTTGTCATGAGTCCTCAACGAAATTCCTCTTTCGACCCCATGCAGTTGCATCCTGAGATATGGCTTGATGTAGTGGAGTATTCGTGTCTCATATATATTTTTCGGTGATTTCTAGGACTTCAAGCTAGAGTGATGTTGTGAATGCTCTATAATGTGTTCAGATGAATGTCTTCCTTTAAGTTCCAGAAGTGTTCACGGATTTCAGAATGACAACAATTTTATACTTTGGACGAATGGCTTCAGTCGAAAAGGACGTCAAAGGGGAAATCGACGTTTACGTGTTTGATTTTAAGAATATATTTTAACTGTTGAATTCCTATTGGGAAATAATTTGCCTAGTTCCTTTCCTGTTTGAGCCTGCGTATTAATAAAGATTTCGATACGAGTATTAACGTGAGCTTTCTTGCAGATTAATAAAGACCTGTTTTTAAAGATGACTGATCGTACGTTATTGCTACCATAGTTTTCCTTTAAAAAACACGGACGAGTAGACATACACACACGAGTGTGCATCCAAACACGACTGTATATACAGCGGTGTGCATTCACACACGAGTGTGCATGTGTTTCTACGCTGTTTTCATTCATTTCGCACCACGAGCGGGGAGTCTCATCCCTGTAGTTCCCTGTTGTGGTGGCGCATTCCTACCACGTTGCCCCTCAATTATTTGTACGACACAATATAAAAATAATTTGTTTGTTCCAATACATAATCATACACGAGTACACATACACTCTCATGTACACACACCCACACACGAGTGGACATACACAGCAGTGTAAGTACAAAGGGATTGCGTTCGACTACGCGAACAAATGGCAGAATTTTTAATATAAAACACTCGTTTTCTAGAAACACCCCGCTCAACACGATTGTACTTAAATATATTTATAAAACAAAGTCAGTACAGTATAAACTTGCACATCTTATTCCAAATCAAGCTCGAGATCACCAATTTTGATACTTCAGACTGTATGTCACTTTATCATCCTCTAAACTTGCAGCAGTTTAGAGGACATTGGGGGGTGAATATTAGCAAATTAACACGAATCATGGAATTATGCATAGAGATGCACATCCGTATTCAAACGGAAGTGTACAATTATTCAGTGATATGTACATACGTATTATGTTGCTAGATATGCGGATTGTTAATGTAAAAATTAACAATTGAATGCAAATTCCATAATAGGCCAAGTCGAGAACAAAGAATTTGGATGCTAGAGCGGAATTATAAAGGGCTTAAAATCAGACCTCAAGGGCATTTCGAGAGGGATTTTGATGAGCATAGACGCTCGACTCCCCGCTCTGCAGATAACCCTTCTTCCACGAGACCCAGCCTGGCGAGCACGATTGCTTGGCGACTGGTTGGGGACTTTGCTTCGGGAGAGTTCGTGGCGATCTCTTCAGACGGGTTACAGGGACATCGATACGCCGTGCATCAACAAGTAAGTGTCTTTGTTAGTGGATAAACTGGTAATCGCGTGTGTATTCCGACTTCCGAGACGTTACTGTGACTCGGTTAAACGTTAGTGAGAGTTGCTTTTTGGCGATTTGAGCCAGACATCCACGAAGTTTCTCTGCTCTGAAAAATCAGTCACATGGAGCAGAAAAACTCTCCACAGCGGCACGCACACACGGGTAAGAAGCCATTCAATTGCGCTGTGTGCGGGAAGGCATTTGCAGATTCATCAACTCTTCGCAATCACCAAAAACACACTCGGTGAGAAGCCATTCAATTGCTCTGTTTGTGTGAAGGCATTTGCCCGTAAAGCAGATCTTCACACTCACCAAAAACACACACGGGCGAGAAGCCGTTCAATTGCGCTGTGTGCTGGAAGGCATTTGCACGGAAATCAGATCTTCACAAGCACCAGAAAACACACACGGGCGAGAAGCCGTTCAATTGCTCTGTGTGTGGGAAGTCATTTGCAGATTCATCAACTCATCACAAGCACCAGAAAACCCACACGGGCGAGAAGCCGTTCAATTGCTCTGTGTGCGGGAAGTCATTTGCAGATTCATCAACTCTTCGCAATCACAAGCACCAGAAAACACACACGGGCGAGAAGCCTTCAATTGCTCTGTGTGCGGGAAGTCATTTGCAGATTCATCAACTTTTCGCATTGCTCTGTGTGCGGGAAGTCATTTGCAGATTCATCAAAAAAACACTCGGGTGAGAAGCCATTCAATTGCTCTGTTTGTGTGAAGGCATTTGCCCGTAAAGCAGATCTTCACACTCACCAAAACACACACACGGGCGAGAAGCCGTTCAATTGCTCTCTGTGTGGGAAGCCATTTTCACGGAAATCAAATCTTCATCGTCACCAGGAAACACACACGGACGATAAGCCATTCAATTGTTCTCCGTTGGAGAGGACACGGTCATCACCCCGAAACAAGCATGAGAAGATCCGCAATGATAGGAAAGTGAAATCAAAAGGAGAAATACAGAGTGCTGCAATGAGTCCTGAAAAAAATGCATCTTTCGAACCTATGCAGGTGGATCCTGAGAGATGCATGGATGTAATGAGTCCTGACGACAATTCCTATTTCGACCCCATGCAGTTGGATCCTGCGAGATGGCTGGATGTACTGAGCCCTGACGACAATTCCTATTTCGACCCCATGCAGGTTGATAATGAGAAATGGCTGCTGGAGTGGCTGGATAATCAAAGTACTGAGAACTTCTGTTAAAGTCCTGGAATGTGCACGTTTGTTTCTCTGTTAGATCAATGTATTAGGTGCAATTGATATATCAGTGATTTCCAGCACTACTCCAACCTAGTGTAATTATTTTAACAAAACCGTTTGATTGCTCTGTGTGTTGGAAGCATTTTCACAGTCAGTAACACTTCACAGGCATCATCAAACAAAGAGTAAAAATGTTGTCATGAGTCCTCAACGAAATTCCTCTTTCGACCCCATGCAGTTGCATCCTGAGATATGGCTTGATGTAGTGGAGTATTCGTGTCTCATATATATTTTTCGGTGATTTCTAGGACTTCAAGCTAGAGTGATGTTGTGAATGCTCTATAATGTGTTCAGATGAATGTCTTCCTTTAAGTTCGAGAAGTGTTCACGGATTTCAGAATGACAACAATTTTATACTTAGGACGAATGGCTTCAGTCGAAAAGGACGTCAAAGGGGAAATCGACGTTTACGTGTTTGATTTTAAGAATATATTTTAACTGTTGAATTCCTATTGGGAAATAATTTGCCTAGTTCCTTTCCTGTTTGAGCATGCGTATTAATAAAGATTTCGATACGAGTATTAACGTGAGCTTTCTTGCAGATTAATAAAGACCTGTTTTTAAAGATGACTCATCGTACGTTATTGCTACCATAGTTTTCCTTTAAAAAACACGGACGAGTAGACATACACACACGAGTGTGCATCCAAACACGACTGTATATACAGCGGTGTGCATTCACACACGAGTGTGCATGTGTTTCTACGCTGTTTTCATTCATTTCGCACCACGAGCGGGGAGTCTCATCCCTGTAGTTCCCTGTTGTGGTGGCGCATTCCTACCACGTTGCCCCTCAATTATTTGTACGACACAATATAAAAATAATTTGTTTGTTCCAATACATAATCATACACGAGTACACATACACTCTCATGTACACACACCCACACACGAGTGGACATACACAGCAGTGTAAGTACAAAGGGATTGCGTTCGACTACACGAACAAATGGCAGAATTTTTAATATAAAACACTCGTTTTCTAGAAACACCCCGCTCAACACGATTGTCCTTAAATATATTTATAAAACAAAGTCAGTACAGTATAAACTTGCACATCTTATTCCAAATCAAGCTCGAGATCACCAATTTTGATACTTCAGACTGTATGTCACTTTATCATCCTCTAAACTTGCAGCAGTTTAGAGGACATTGGGGGTGAATATTAGCAAATTAACACGAATCATGGAATTATGCATAGAGATGCACATCCGTATTCAAACGGAAGTGTACAATTATTCAGTGATATGTACATACGTATTATGTTGCTAGATATGCGGATTGTTAATGTAAAAATTAACAATTGAATGCAAATTCCATAATAGGCCAAGTCGAGAACAAAGAATTTGGATGCTAGAGCAGAATTATAAAGGGCTTAAAATCAGACCTCAAGGGCATTTCGAGAGGGATTTTGATGAGCATAGACGCTCGACTCCCCGCTCTGCAGATAACCCTTCTTCCACGAGACCCAGCCTGGCGAGCACGATTGCTTGGCGACTGGTTGGGGACTTTGCTTCGGGAGAGTTCGTGGCGATCTCTTCAGACGGGTTACAGGGACATCGATACGCCGTGCATCAACAAGTAAGTGTCTTTGTTAGTGGATAAACTGGTAATCGCGTGTGTATTCCGACTTCCGAGACGTTACTGTGACTCGGTTAACGTTAGTGAGAGTTGCTTTTTGGCGATTTGAGCCAGACATCCACGAAGTTTCTCTGCTCTGAAAAATCAGTCACATGGAGCAGAAAAACTCTCCACAGCGGCACGCACACACGGGTAAGAAGCCATTCAATTGCGCTGTGTGCGGGAAGGCATTTGCAGATTCATCAACTCTTCGCAATCACCAAAAAACACACTCGGGTGAGAAGCCATTCAATTGCTCTGTTTGTGTGAAGGCATTTGCCCGTAAAGCAGATCTTCACACTCACCAAAAACACACACGGGCGAGAAGCCGTTCAATTGCGCTGTGTGCTGGAAGGCATTTGCACGGAAATCAGATCTTCACAAGCACCAGAAAACACACACGGGCGAGAAGCCGTTCAATTGCTCTGTGTGTGGGAAGTCATTTGCAGATTCATCAACTCATCACAAGCACCAGAAAACACACACGGGCGAGAAGCCGTTCAATTGCTCTGTGTGCGGGAAGTCATTTGCAGATTCATCAACTCTTCGCAATCACCAAAAAACACACTCGGGTGAGAAGCCATTCAATTGCTCTGTTTGTGTGAAGGCATTTGCCCGTAAAGCAGATCTTCACACTCACCAAAAAACACACACGGGCGAGAAGCCGTTCAATTGCTCTCTGTGTGGGAAGCCATTTTCACGGAAATCAAATCTTCATCGTCACCAGGAAACACACACGGACGATAAGCCATTCAATTGTTCTCCGTTGGAGAGGACACGGTCATCACCCCGAAACAAGCATGAGAAGATCCGCAATGATAGGAAAGTGAAATCAAAAGGAGAAATACAGAGTGCTGCAATGAGTCCTGAAAAAAATGCATCTTTCGAACCTATGCAGGTGGATCCTGAGAGATGCATGGATGTAATGAGTCCTGACGACAATTCCTATTTCGACCCCATGCAGTTGGATCCTGCGAGATGGCTGGATGTACTGAGCCCTGACGACAATTCCTATTTCGACCCCATGCAGGTTGATAATGAGAAATGGCTGCTGGAGTGGCTGGATAATCAAAGTATTGAGAACTTCTGTTAAAGTCCTGGAATGTGCACGTTTGTTTCTCTGTTAGATCAATGTATTAGGTGCAATTGATAATATCAGTGATTTCCAGCACTACTCCAACCTAGTGTAATTCTTTTAACAAAACCGTTTGATTGCTCTGTGTGTTGGAAGCATTTTCACAGTCAGTAACACTTCACAGGCATCATCAAACAAAGAGTAAAAATGTTGTCATGAGTCCTCAACGAAATTCCTCTTTCGACCCCATGCAGTTGCATCCTGAGATATGGCTTGATGTAGTGGAGTATTCGTGTCTCATATATATTTTTCGGTGATTTCTAGGACTTCAAGCTAGAGTGATGTTGTGAATGCTCTATAATGTGTTCAGATGAATGTCTTCCTTTAAGTTCCAGAAGTGTTCACGGATTTCAGAATGACAACAATTTTATACTTTGGACGAATGGCTTCAGTCGAAAAGGACGTCAAAGGGAAATCGACGTTTACGTGTTTGATTTTAAGAATATATTTTAACTGTTGAATTCCTATTGGGAAATAATTTGCCTAGTTCCTTTCCTGTTTGAGCATGCGTATTAATAAAGATTTCGATACGAGTATTAACGTGAGCTTTCTTGCAGATTAATAAAGACCTGTTTTTAAAGATGACTGATCGTACGTTATTGCTACCATAGTTTTCCTTTAAAAAACACGGACGAGTAGACATACACACACGAGTGTGCATCCAAACACGACTGTATATACAGCGGTGTGCATTCACACACGAGTGTGCATGTGTTTCTACGCTGTTTTCATTCATTTCGCACCACGAGCGGGGAGTCTCATCCCTGTAGTTCCCTGTTGTGGTGGCGCATTCCTACCACGTTGCCCCTCAATTATTTGTACGACACAATATAAAAATAATTTGTTTGTTCCAATACATAATCATACACGAGTACACAAATACACTCCATGTACACACACCCACACACGAGTGGACATACACAGCAGTGTAAGTACAAAGGGATTGCGTTCGACTACGCGAACAAATGGCAGAATTTTTAATATAAAACACTCGTTTTCTAGAAACACCCCGCTCAACACGATTGTACTTAAATATATTTATAAAACAAAGTCAGTACAGTATAAACTTGCACATCTTATTCCAAATCAAGCTCGAGATCACCAATTTTGATACTTCAGACTGTATGTCACTTTATCATCCTCTAAACTTGCAGCAGTTTAGAGGACATTGGGGGGTGAATATTAGCAAATTAACACGAATCATGGAATTATGCATAGAGATGCACATCCGTATTCAAACGGAAGTGTACAATTATTCAGTGATATGTACATACGTATTATGTTGCTAGATATGCGGATTGTTAATGTAAAAATTAACAATTGAATGCAAATTCCATAATAGGCCAAGTCGAGAACAAAGAATTTGGATGCTAGAGCAGAATTATAAAGGGCTTAAAATCAGACCTCAAGGGCATTTCGAGAGGGATTTTGATGAGCATAGACGCTCGACTCCCCGCTCTGCAGATAACCCTTCTTCCACGAGACCCAGCCTGGCGAGCACGATTGCTTGGCGACTGGTTGGGGACTTTGCTTCGGGAGAGTTCGTGGCGATCTCTTCAGACGGGTTACAGGGACATCGATACGCCGTGCATCAACAAGTAAGTGTCTTTGTTAGTGGATAAACTGGTAATCGCGTGTGTATTCCGACTTCCGAGACGTTACTGTGACTCGGTTAGACGTTAGTGAGAGTTGCTTTTTGGCGATTTGAGCCAGACATCCACGAAGTTTCTCTGCTCTGAAAAATCAGTCACATGGAGCAGAAAAACTCTCCACAGCGGCACGCACACACGGGTAAGAAGCCATTCAATTGCGCTGTGTGCGGGAAGGCATTTGCAGATTCATCAACTCTTCGCAATCACCAAAAAACACACTCGGGTGAGAAGCCATTCAATTGCTCTGTTTGTGTGAAGGCATTTGCCCGTAAAGCAGATCTTCACACTCACCAAAAAACACACACGGGCGAGAAGCCGTTCAATTGCGCTGTGTGCTGGAAGGCATTTGCACGGAAATCAGATCTTCACAAGCACCAGAAAACACACACGGGCGAGAAGCCGTTCAATTGCTCTGTGTGTGGGAAGTCATTTGCAGATTCATCAACTCATCACAAGCACCAGAAAACACACACGGGCGAGAAGCCGTTCAATTGCTCTGTGTGCGGGAAGTCATTTGCAGATTCATCAACTCTTCGCAATCACCAAAAAACACACTCGGGTGAGAAGCCATTCAATTGCTCTGTTTGTGTGAAGGCATTTGCCCGTAAAGCAGATCTTCACACTCACCAAAACACACACATGGGCGAGAAGCCGTTCAATTGCTCTCTGTGTGGGAAGCCATTTTCACGGAAATCAAATCTTCATCGTCACCAGGAAACACACACGGACGATAAGCCATTCAATTGTTCTCCGTTGGAGAGGACACGGTCATCACCCCGAAACAAGCATGAGAAGATCCGCAATGATAGGAAAGTGAAATCAAAAGGAGAAATACAGAGTGCTGCAATGAGTCCTGAAAAAAATGCATCTTTCGAACCTATGCAGGTGGATCCTGAGAGATGCATGGATGTAATGAGTCCTGACGACAATTCCTATTTCGACCCCATGCAGTTGGATCCTGCGAGATGGCTGGATGTACTGAGCCCTGACGACAATTCCTATTTCGACCCCATGCAGGTTGATAATGAGAAATGGCTGCTGGAGTGGCTGGATAATCAAAGTATTGAGAACTTCTGTTAAAGTCCTGGAATGTGCACGTTTGTGTCTCTGTTAGATCAATGTATTAGGTGCAATTGATTATATCAGTGATTTCCAGCACTACTCCAACCTAGTGTAATTCTTTTAACAAAACCGTTTGATTGCTCTGTGTGTTGGAAGCATTTTCACAGTCAGTAACACTTCACAGGCATCATCAAACAAAGAGTAAAAATGTTGTCATGAGTCCTCAACGAAATTCCTCTTTCGACCCCATGCAGTTGCATCCTGAGATATGGCTTGATGTAGTGGAGTATTCGTGTCTCATATATATTTTTCGGTGATTTCTAGGACTTCAAGCTAGAGTGATGTTGTGAATGCTCTATAATGTGTTCAGATGAATGTCTTCCTTTAAGTTCCAGAAGTGTTCACGGATTTCAGAATGACAACAATTTTATACTTTGGACGAATGGCTTCAGTCGAAAAGGACGTCAAAGGGAAATCGACGTTTACGTGTTTGATTTTAAGAATATATTTTAACTGTTGAATTCCTATTGGGAAATAATTTGCCTAGTTCCTTTCCTGTTTGAGCATGCGTATTAATAAAGATTTCGATACGAGTATTAACGTGAGCTTTCTTGCAGATTAATAAAGACCTGTTTTTAAAGATGACTCATCGTACGTTATTGCTACCATAGTTTTCCTTTAAAAAACACGGACGAGTAGACATACACACACGAGTGTGCATCCAAACACGACTGTATATACAGCGGTGTGCATTCACACACGAGTGTGCATGTGTTTCTACGCTGTTTTCATTCATTTCGCACCACGAGCGGGGAGTCTCATCCCTGTAGTTCCCTGTTGTGGTGGCGCATTCCTACCACGTTGCCCCTCAATTATTTGTACGACACAATATAAAAATAATTTGTTTGTTCCAATACATAATCATACACGAGTACACATACACTCTCATGTACACACACCCACACACGAGTGGACATACACAGCAGTGTAAGTACAAAGGGATTGCGTTCGACTACACGAACAAATGGCAGAATTTTTAATATAAAACACTCGTTTTCTAGAAACACCCCGCTCAACACGATTGTCCTTAAATATATTTATAAAACAAAGTCAGTACAGTATAAACTTGCACATCTTATTCCAAATCAAGCTCGAGATCACCAATTTTGATACTTCAGACTGTATGTCACTTTATCATCCTCTAAACTTGCAGCAGTTTAGAGGACATTGGGGGGTGAATATTAGCAAATTAACACGAATCATGGAATTATGCATAGAGATGCACATCCGTATTCAAACGGAAGTGTACAATTATTCAGTGATATGTACATACGTATTATGTTGCTAGATATGCGGATTGTTAATGTAAAAATTAACAATTGAATGCAAATTCCATAATAGGCCAAGTCGAGAACAAAGAATTTGGATGCTAGAGCGGAATTATAAAGGGCTTAAAATCAGACCTCAAGGGCATTTCGAGAGGGATTTTGATGAGCATAGACGCTCGACTCCCCGCTCTGCAGATAACCCTTCTTCCACGAGACCCAGCCTGGCGAGCACGATTGCTTGGCGACTGGTTGGGGACTTTGCTTCGGGAGAGTTCGTGGCGATCTCTTCAGACGGGTTACAGGGACATCGATACGCCGTGCATCAACAAGTAAGTGTCTTTGTTAGTGGATAAACTGGTAATCGCGTGTGTATTCCGACTTCCGAGACGTTACTGTGACTCAGTTAGACGTTGGTAAAAAGTTAGCTTTCTTGGCGGTTAAACGTTAGTGAGAGTTGCTTTTTGGCGATTTGAGCCAGACATCCACGAAGTTTCTCTGCTCTGAAAAATCAGTCACATGGAGCAGAAAAACTCTCCACAGCGGCACGCACACACGGGTAAGAAGCCATTCAATTGCGCTGTGTGCGGGAAGGCATTTGCAGATTCATCAACTCTTCGCAATCACCAAAAAACACACTCGGGTGAGAAGCCATTCAATTGCTCTGTTTGTGTGAAGGCATTTGCCCGTAAAGCAGATCTTCACACTCACCAAAAAACACACACGGGCGAGAAGCCGTTCAATTGCGCTGTGTGCTGGAAGGCATTTGCACGGAAATCAGATCTTCACAAGCACCAGAAAACACACACGGGCGAGAAGCCGTTCAATTGCTCTGTGTGTGGGAAGTCATTTGCAGATTCATCAACTCATCACAAGCACCAGAAAACACACACGGGCGAGAAGCCGTTCAATTGCTCTGTGTGCGGGAAGTCATTTGCAGATTCATCAACTCTTCGCAATCACCAAAAAACACACTCGGGTGAGAAGCCATTCAATTGCTCTGTTTGTGTGAAGGCATTTGCCCGTAAAGCAGATCTTCACACTCACCAAAAAACACACACGGGCGAGAAGCCGTTCAATTGCTCTCTGTGTGGGAAGCCATTTTCACGGAAATCAAATCTTCATCGTCACCAGGAAACACACACGGACGATAAGCCATTCAATTGTTCTCCGTTGGAGAGGACACGGTCATCACCCCGAAACAAGCATGAGAAGATCCGCAATGATAGGAAAGTGAAATCAAAAGGAGAAATACAGAGTGCTGCAATGAGTCCTGAAAAAAATGCATCTTTCGAACCTATGCAGGTGGATCCTGAGAGATGCATGGATGTAATGAGTCCTGACGACAATTCCTATTTCGACCCCATGCAGTTGGATCCTGCGAGATGGCTGGATGTACTGAGCCCTGACGACAATTCCTATTTCGACCCCATGCAGGTTGATAATGAGAAATGGCTGCTGGAGTGGCTGGATAATCAAAGTATTGAGAACTTCTGTTAAAGTCCTGGAATGTGCACGTTTGTTTCTCTGTTAGATCAATGTATTAGGTGCAATTGATTATATCAGTGATTTCCAGCACTACTCCAACCTAGTGTAATTATTTTAACAAAACCGTTTGATTGCTCTGTGTGTTGGAAGCATTTTCACAGTCAGTAACACTTCACAGGCATCATCAAACAAAGAGTAAAAATGTTGTCATGAGTCCTCAACGAAATTCCTCTTTCGACCCCATGCAGTTGCATCCTGAGATATGGCTTGATGTAGTGGAGTATTCGTGTCTCATATATATTTTTCGGTGATTTCTAGGACTTCAAGCTAGAGTGATGTTGTGAATGCTCTATAATGTGTTCAGATGAATGTCTTCCTTTAAGTTCCAGAAGTGTTCACGGATTTCAGAATGACAACAATTTTATACTTAGGACGAATGGCTTCAGTCGAAAAGGACGTCAAAGGGAAATCGACGTTTACGTGTTTGATTTTAAGAATATATTTTAACTGTTGAATTCCTATTGGGAAATAATTTGCCTAGTTCCTTTCCTGTTTGAGCACTGCGTATTAATAAAGATTTCGATACGAGTATTAACGTGAGCTTTCTTGCAGATTAATAAAGACCTGTTTTTAAAGATGACTGATCGTACGTTATTGCTACCATAGTTTTCCTTTAAAAAACACGGACGAGTAGACATACACACACGAGTGTGCATCCAAACACGACTGTATATACAGCGGTGTGCATTCACACACGAGTGTGCATGTGTTTCTACGCTGTTTTCATTCATTTCGCACCACGAGCGGGGAGTCTCATCCCTGTAGTTCCCTGTTGTGGTGGCGCATTCCTACCACGTTGCCCCTCAATTATTTGTACGACACAATATAAAAATAATTTGTTTGTTCCAATACATAATCATACACGAGTACACATACACTCTCATGTACACACACCCACACACGAGTGGACATACACAGCAGTGTAAGTACAAAGGGATTGCGTTCGACTACGCGAACAAATGGCAGAATTTTTAATATAAAACACTCGTTTTCTAGAAACACCCCGCTCAACACGATTGTACTTAAATATATTTATAAAACAAAGTCAGTACAGTATAAACTTGCACATCTTATTCCAAATCAAGCTCGAGATCACCAATTTTGATACTTCAGACTGTATGTCACTTTATCATCCTCTAAACTTGCAGCAGTTTAGAGGACATTGGGGGGTGAATATTAGCAAATTAACACGAATCATGGAATTATGCATAGAGATGCACATCCGTATTCAAACGGAAGTGTACAATTATTCAGTGATATGTACATACGTATTATGTTGCTAGATATGCGGATTGTTAATGTAAAAATTAACAATTGAATGCAAATTCCATAATAGGCCAAGTCGAGAACAAAGAATTTGGATGCTAGAGCAGAATTATAAAGGGCTTAAAATCAGACCTCAAGGGCATTTCGAGAGGGATTTTGATGAGCATAGACGCTCGACTCCCCGCTCTGCAGATAACCCTTCTTCCACGAGACCCAGCCTGGCGAGCACGATTGCTTGGCGACTGGTTGGGGACTTTGCTTCGGGAGAGTTCGTGGCGATCTCTTCAGACGGGTTACAGGGACATCGATACGCCGTGCATCAACAAGTAAGTGTCTTTGTTAGTGGATAAACTGGTAATCGCGTGTGTATTCCGACTTCCGAGACGTTACTGTGACTCGGTTAAACGTTAGTGGAAAAATCAGTCACATGGAGCAGAAAAACTCTCCACAGCGGCACGCACACACGGGTAAGAAGCCATTCAATTGCGCTGTGTGCGGGAAGGCATTTGCAGATTCATCAACTCTTCGCAATCACCAAAAAACACACTCGGGTGAGAAGCCATTCAATTGCTCTGTTTGTGTGAAGGCATTTGCCCGTAAAGCAGATCTTCACACTCACCAAAAACACACACGGGCGAGAAGCCGTTCAATTGCGCTGTGTGCTGGAAGGCATTTGCACGGAAATCAGATCTTCACAAGCACCAGAAAACACACACGGGCGAGAAGCCGTTCAATTGCTCTGTGTGTGGGAAGTCATTTGCAGATTCATCAACTCATCACAAGCACCAGAAAACACACACGGGCGAGAAGCCGTTCAATTGCTCTGTGTGCGGGAAGTCATTTGCAGATTCATCAACTCTTCGCAATCACCAAAAAACACACTCGGGTGAGAAGCCATTCAATTGCTCTGTTGTGTGAAGGCATTTGCCCGTAAAGCAGATCTTCACACTCACCAAAAAACACACACGGGCGAGAAGCCGTTCAATTGCTCTCTGTGTGGGAAGCCATTTTCACGGAAATCAAATCTTCATCGTCACCAGGAAACACACACGGACGATAAGCCATTCAATTGTTCTCCGTTGGAGAGGACACGGTCATCACCCCGAAACAAGCATGAGAAGATCCGCAATGATAGGAAAGTGAAATCAAAAGGAGAAATACAGAGTGCTGCAATGAGTCCTGAAAAAAATGCATCTTT